TGGAGGAAGTCTAGGAATGAAGAATGCAGACTGAGTGGGTGCGAGTAAGTCTATAATGTAACAGAAAAGTTAAGCATGATGTAACGTTATATGAGAAAGAAGCGTATGCAATTAATGCAGCACCCGAATTTGAGATTAAAAAAAAAATACTATTCTTAACTGTATCTAAGATAAGAAAGTGTTTCAATGAAAAAGAAAACCTGAATATTTAATACTAAAAAAGAATCAGAGGAAGAAAACAACTCTGATACCAACTTTTATATCCAGCAGGCTAACTATCTTAACCTAAGTATGAGTGAAGCCTGGTGGGATGTAGACCTAGAGTATGAGGTCAAAATAGCATCTAGTAAAAACAACATTATAAATTGAGCAAGTGGTATCATTGAAGCCGAGATGAATAATAATTTTAGTTGGGACCCTGATACTGAAATTAATAAGGGAAAAGAAAGTGTTAGTATAAATAATACAGAAACAAACCTTACCTCATCTGAAAGAATAGAAACTAAGACCAAGGCTACAAAAAAAGAAAGCCTTGAATTAATAAACAAACCTACTAGTCAACCAAAAGATAGTAATGATTCAGACTTATCAGAAAAAGAATTAACCACCCAAGCACTAATAGAGGAAAACACGAAAAAACTATCAGCACCCGAAGAAAAAGCAGAATCTATTAATATACTAGTAATCCAGTACCAAAAGATGACTTCTAGAAGAAGACAGAAATTAGCCTTTTATACTCAACACATTGAGAATAGAAACACATATTTTGTTTATACTCATCCTACTCTAGGAAGTCATTTTTCTATGAGAGAGTTGAGAGTAAGAGAAACTGTCTACTAGATCAATTTTGGTAGATACTAACTTGTTGCTAACAATCCACTCGATCTCCTGACTCTTAGGAAGTAGATTATAGAGATGTATTGGCAAGAACAAAATCAGGAGAACTTATTTGAAGACCCATAATAGCTATATTTAAAAAAAAAAAAAAAAAAAAATTTAATTAAGTTAAATATCAAAAAAAAAAAAAAAAAAAAAAAAAAAAATGTTAATTATATATGGATGTGATATAAAAAAGAGTAGAACGGTCATAACAGTAAAGTGCATGAGTAAAGAGGCACTTTACAATGAAAAGAGATTAGTTTAGAAAGAAAAATTATAGTTTCGTTAAAGCATAGCATTAAGCTTGTTATCGCTTGAAGTAGAGTTTTAATAGACAGCTATTGATAGGAGTAGTTACTACCTTTGTATCTATAGTGCGTAATTTAAAGATATTGTCATGCAGGATTTCATGAATATAAAAGAGTCCTTTCCATTTCAAGTTGAATTTGATACTTCAGAAATATTCTTGTGACGCTTGATATACTAATACTTTATCTCTGATCTTTAGGTCTAACCTGTTTTTAATCTTTTAATCATAGTATTGTTTTTGCCTAATTTGGGCTAGTTGGACTTATGTGATGGCCATATTATAGATTTGAGGTAAGTGTTTCAATAGTTTAAATATATGTTCGATAGTTGTGGCACTTAACTCATCATTGCTCTTAGGTTCAATCGGTTGTCTGGCTTCTTGTCTATGCATAAGGTAGAATAGCATTATTCTGGTTGTTGAATAGTAATTTGTTCAATAGATGAACAATACAGATGAGATCACAGTATCCCAGTCTAATATATTTTTGATTAATTTAGTGATTGACTCGTATAATATCTTATTAAATTGCTCAACAAGTCCATTCATCTGCAGGTGATAAGGTATAGACAAGATGTGTTTGAACTAAAATTTCTCTAACAGGTTTCTTACTAACTGGTTTTGAAAGTGAGTACCTTAATCTGACAGGATTTTCTCTGAATACCCATGATAGCAAATTATGTTGTCATACAAGAAATCAGCAATTTCCTAGGCATTCGCCATACTAAGAGCCTTAGCTTTTGGCCACTTCATCATATAGTCGGTTGCTACGATGATATACCTATTACCTCTTGGAGTTATAGGTAATAGTCTTACGATATCAATTCTAATTTGGTAAAATAGAGCAATGACTGGTATCAGGTTTAAAGAGGCATTCGCTTTGTTTTTTCTCCTTCTCTAGCATAAGTCACAGGACCTCACATATTCTCAAATTCGTTCGAATACTTAGGGCCAATAGTAGATCTTTCGGATCTTTTCAAATATTACTTCAGCTCCAAAATATCCTCCAATTAGGTGATCATAGATCAGAAATAGAATCAGTTCTATTTCATAGGCTTGGACTATTCGTAAAGGCTTTTCTGAATCTCTCTTATTTTTCTTATAAATGATGGCTTGTTTTAGGATAAAAGTCCTTCTGTGGTTTACTAATTTTCTCTTCTCTTTTCTTATCAATCTAGAGTCGATATATCAGTCTTGAAGATATCTTCTGGTTATATTTTTCTAGATTCATGATTTCTTCTTGCCAGGATACTGACCACCTGAGCTAGATTAAATTTTATATCAGGTTTCATTCAAGACTGTTTAAGTGAGTATTCTTCCTATTGTTTGTCTATTTCTCTTGGTTGTTATTTAATTGCTCCTCAGATTGGTGTGGGTAATTGGCTACACTATGACACTGTTATAATCTTAGATTTGTATTATAATTGGCATGGACATTTCCTTTCTTATTTCCATTCTGAGGTTCTTCTATTTTCTAATTTTCATTTCACTTTCTTTTCAAGAATTTTCAGATAGTTCTTTATGTTTCCTGGAAGTATCGGTTATATAGTCTATTTAATAAGCTCTTATTTTTCACTTATTAAGTAAATCTTTACATTTCTTTCTGATCTTTTTCACTAACCTGTTCTCTCTCTTACCTGTTAGGTTATTTTCTCTTACTACTATATATCTGGCAAAGTTTTGAAATAAGTCACAGCTCGGATTTTTGTCTTGCT